AGGCTCAACCTGATACCCTAGGTCCGTGGTCGGCAAACCGCGGCTCGAGAACCACATGCAGCTCTTTGGCCCCTTGAGTGTGGCTCTTCCACAAAATACCACGTGCGGGCGTGCGTACAGTGCGATTGAAACTTCATGGCCCATGCGCAGAAGTTGGTTTTCGGCCTGGGCGAGTCTATTTTGAAGAAGTACTGTTGATATTTGGCTCTGTTGACTAATGAGATTGCCTACCACTGCCCTAGGTCATCAGCAGTGGCTTTTGACCTTTGTGGGATCTTATATCCACTTTTAGGTCCTGAAAGAAGCTTTGGTTCTCTACCCCAGGGAAATACAAAAACACCACTGCCCTAGGTCATCAGCAGTGGCTTTTGACCTTTTGTGAGATCTTATATCCACTTTTAGATCCTGAGAAAAGCTTTGGTTCCCTACCCCAGGGAAATAAAAAAACACATAATTTTCAAATAATTTGAGGAAGGTCAAGATCCCCTTATCAATGTGCAAGGATCTCCCCCTGCTTCCAAAAGATTTATGGCACCAGGTTAAGCATCCTGCTGTAGAACCATCTCCCAGTTTTCTAGAGGGGTTGAAGCTGTTCTGGTGGGACACCCTGGGGTGTGGGATGAATTTACTTTGCTCCTAGTCTGGCTATGACATTGTGCTTCCGTTCTGAGAAACGGGATTCAGTCCTGCTCCTCTGACCTGCCTCTCAGACCAGCTTTGGGGGTCAGGTCTTACTTCTTGTTCTTGAGCCTGTGCCTTGGCAGACTGCTCAGGCCCCAGGAGACCCCTGAGAGGGCCGCCCTGCCCTGTTCACGTAAACCTCTAGGGCAGGTGTTCCCAACACTGGCACTACTGACACGTTGTGCTAGACAATTTTGTATTGTGTGTCTGTGTGTAGGGGCTGCTCTATGCATTATAAAATGTTTAACAGCATCCCTGGCCTCTAATCATTAGATGCCATTGGCATCCCCAATTATAGCAACTAAACATCTCTCCAGGCATTGCCCCCTGGAGAGACAAGATCCCCTCCAGTAGGGAATCACTACTCTGGGGCCTGAAGTCCTGTCCTTGAACTCCTGCTTGATGCCTGGAGTCCTACTATCTGCTGACAGTCTCCTTAATACCAACTATAAGCCTAGTCCCCAAACATAGCTTGCTCCTGGATTTCCCAGTGCTAGGTTCTGCCTCCTATACAGACGCCACTGTAATTCTTGCAGCATATTTCTGGTGACAACAGCTTGCCTGGACTGCCAACTGTTGTGTTTCAAAATACTATTTTCTCTGGCTTGAGTGAATGACCCTCGCCTCCTCACTCCCCCACTAAACAGCTAGCTTTCCTGCAGGGATGAGGTGGGGCTGATTTCAGTCTTTGATCCAGTTGGGATCCAATTAGTTCTCCCGAGAGTGGCTGTGTCGTGAGATAGGACAATGAGGCTTTGTTTGTTTTCCTTGGGAAAGTCATCTTCCTGGTGGTTTTCTGTGAGAGAGCCTGTCCTTTCCCTATGTACGTGGAGATAGAGTTTTCTGAAGGCAGTAAATTGCCCCATTCTACAGTGCAGCAAGTCAGTCAGGAATGAGCAGCAGAACCACGGAATTGCAGCCTTAATAGATGCCAACAGCACAAAGGTGGTGAGCTTCATAATGGAGCTTTAGAGAGAGCGAGAAAGATTGATGGACTGAAAGCTAAGAGCAGAGAACGGAATGGGGGAAAGAACATTGTGTAATGCTTTTCACAGAGGACATACCTAAGAACCACAGGAGAGAGAGAGCGCGCAGAACAAGAAAGTACAGGACAAATTGTACCTTGTAATATTCTAAACCTGGCCTTGTTGATTATAGCGGGGTAGGGGGTGCTGGGAGGGCCCAGGGTCTGAAAGGCTGACACAGATATTGATATTGGGAGGAAATCCACTCAAACAAGTAAGAACTGGTATTCAATGGCTTTAACAAGTTGGAAGATGATTTCTCGCTCATGTGAAAGTATGGTGGCTTTCCTTTGCAAATCGTCAAGGGCTCAGCTTTTTCACCTCTTGCTGTTCTGTCATCTTTTACGTGTTGATCTCATCTTCATGACCAAGAAGGTTCGTTCCCACACCAGTATTCCTGCTGGCAGAAAGGGAAAGAAGGGAAGACAAACCTCTCCGCTTAAAGGCATAACCCAGAAGTTGTCCACGTTATTTTTGCTCATATCCCATTGGCCAGAACTTAGTCCTATAGTGATAACTAACTTCCAAGGAAGCTGGAGATTCTGGAAGGCCACCTGCCAGATAAAAATCAGGGATTCTCGCCCGGAAATTCCTCTACAGGACTAGCCTGAGGGCCCCTTGTCCTCAGTCTTTCCTCTAAGTCAGTGGTTCTCAACCTGTGGGTCACTCCCCTTGTCCTCAGTCTTTCCTCTAAGTCAGTGGTTCTTAACCTGTGGGTCGCTACCCCTTTGGGCGTCAAACAACCCTTTCACAGGGGTCTCCTAAGACCATCGGAAAACACATATATAATTACATATTGTTTTTGTGATGAATCACTATGCTTCAATTATGTTCAATTTGTAACAATGAAATTGGGGGTCACCACAACATGAGGAACTGTATTAAAGGGTCGGGGCGTTAGGAAGGTTGAGAACCACTGCTTCAGTTCCCCAAGTGCCCCTAGAACCTGTTTGGCAGATCCATTCTTGGAAGACAGAAGAGAGATGGGAAAAGAGTGGGCAAAGATGGAGTCCTCTTTAACAAAAAAGGGTTGCTAAACACTTGCGTTTTGTTAACATAAAAGACAGGCGACTTGAAGTCTAACACCACAGGCAAGCCCAGTGACCGGATCTTGAGCTAGGGCCCATTTCTACCAGCTAATCGTTGTTGTGAAACTCCAGGGAGAACTGAGGCCATGTTGTGTTTCTGTTGGTTGTGATTAAACCTGAATAATTTTTCACTGAAAATAGTCACAATGTTATCTAATCCCAGCACTAAAAGAAACAACCAAATCCACTTGGAAACCAGACCGCCTTCATTGATAACGAAGAAGTCAATGGTGGCCTGTTGTTCTTGGAGGCCACTGGTTGGTAGCCGGGGAGCTGCTGCCACCTCGTGGATATTCCAGAAAGCGCAGCCAGGGAGGCGGCCTCGGCCACGCCAATGGCGCGCGCTGCACAGCCCAGTCAGTCACACCTCGGTGATGCTTCAGCTGAGCTCACTTATAACCTTGGAAGACCAAGGGCCCCGGCGGTTTATTATGGGTTTGCGGTGTTTATTAATCCACAACGGTACTGTTTTTGATAGACAACCTAAGATTAAGGCCAATAAAGGACTCTGGGAAGGTGGACCGAATAATTTCCTTGACTTGAGAACAAAGAAGAAAGTCAGTAAATAGTACCTGGATCTTCCAGTAATTACTCCATCTTATAAATTACTGTTTTTCTCTTATTCCGGCCCGCAGTCTGTCATTCTAGAAAGGATGATATATTAATTTTTAGCTGAGCAATACCCACGGGGAGTAATCAGAGTCGGCGCTGTACAGGTGTTTTTCCAACGAAAAAGGTTACTATTGGAATTATTTATAATCAACATCAGAACACTGAATATTAACGAAGTGATTTTCTTCTGCTCATTAGGGATCAGGAGATGCATGTTGTTTTGGCTGACATTTGAAAGGTCATGCCTGATCCAAGAAAGCAGCTCCCCACTTCAAAATGCTGTCACCGTTCCTTCCTGTCCATTTCCTTTTTCTTTTAAATGTTATTTGACATTCAATTATTGTGAAATTGTTAGGTCATACACAATGGTAGAAGAATATGACGTTGATCGTGCCTGACCCTATCACTCAGCTCTAGGAAACACAATATTATCAATACAGGTGAAGCCCTCTGGGTACTCCGATTGTGTTCCCTTCCTTCTCATTACTTCATGGTTCCCACTCCCCTAAATTGGCTGTTAATCATACCTATTTATTTCTTAATACTTTTATCAATAAATATGTATCCACAAACAATATAAAGTATCAGATTTTGTGTTTTTAAAACTTTATTTCAATGTGTTTTTTTTTGTAACTTGGATTTTTCATTCAATGTTATGAGTGTGAGATTCATCCATTGCCTCGGTTTCCTAGGCCGCCATACAAATTGCCACACACTTGGTGGCTTACACAGCAGAAATGCTTTCTCTCGCCGTCTGAGGTCTGAAAGCCTGAAATCAAGGTGTCCTCAGGGCTGCACTTGCTCTGGGCCTCTGAGAGAGAATCTGTCCCTTGCCTTTTCCAGCTTCTGGTGACTCCAGACAGTCTTGATTTGTGGCTACATAACTCCAATCTCGGTTTCCGTCTTCACAAGGCCTTCTGCTCCCTGCTTGTGTCTTCCTCTCCTCTTATAAGGACGCTTGTCATTGGATTTAGGGCCCGCCCATATACTCCACGATGGTCTCCTCTCAAGACCCTTACTGACATCTGCAAAGCTCCCAGAGAGTATGTGGTGGAGGTGGGTTTCCACCCCAGGCCTCTGACTGACTCCTCTCACCATGGATTACAAGGCCTCTAAGTGCAGATAGCAGGGACTTCTGGCCATTTAATGGGTATTTAATGTGACATTGGTTTTAATGCTTAGCCCATATAGGAGGAAGCTAACTAGTGTTGAGAAGCTACAGTGTGAGAGAATGGTGTGCTGGCTGGGGAGGCAGGAAATCTGAGTTCTGAGGTCAATACTCAGTTGACTTCCAAACTCCAAGCACAGGATTCTATTTTGTTCCTGTTCCTCTTCCAGGCCACTCCCTGATCTAACCAGCAGGGAGATCAGTGAGACAACCAACCACCCATCCACTTCTTTTAAAGAAGAAGATAAAAAATACCTAGGTTTTTCAGGATGATCACTTAGTAAGTTATATAATGTCTGATCACTGGGTGGACACCTGAAACTAATACAATATTGTATGTCAACTGCAATTGAAAGTTAAAAATGATTTAAATTAAAAGTAAAAAAAAAAAATTTAAAGTAAAAATAAAAAACAACAACATTGTAGGCTTCTTATCAATCAATTTATAACCAACTCTGTTAGGCAAAAGCCACACCCATAAGTCTCCTTTAGCCCTTCTCCACCTCACACTCTCCAAAGCTGTAGGCCTTTTGTCTGCTTGTAAAGGTCTACGAAGCAACTTTCTGAGGTTTTAACAGTTTTGTAGTCACATCCCTGGCTTCACCTGTGGACTGTTTTCCTGACAGCACTCTGGATTTGATCCTACTTGGAAGCCATTTCATTTCCTATATGAGGGGGTGAGGAAGGAGAAACAGTTATTTTCAAATCCATTCCAAGTCAAGTCTCTTCCATCACCATTTATCGCCCCTTTACTCTCTTCTACCTCCTCCCACCCCTCTTTCCCTCTGGTAATTACCATACTGTTGTCTGTGTCTATGAGTTTTTTGGTGTGTGTGTGTTTAATATATTTTATTGATTTTTTACAGAGAAGAAGGGAGAGGGATAGAGAGTTAGAAACATCGATGAGAGAAACATCGATCAGCTGCCCCCTGCACGCCCCCTACTGGGTATGTACCCACAACCAAGGTACATGCCCTTGACCAGAATTGAACCTGGGTCCCTTCAGTCCGAGGCCGACGCTCTATCCACTGAGCCAAACCGGTCAGGGCTTGGTGTGTTTTTTTGTTTGTTTGGTTGTTTTTTTTGCTTAATCACTTCACCTTTTTCACCTAGCACCCCTTCACCCCTCCCTTCTGACAGCTGTCAGTCTGTTCTCTGTATCAATGAGTCTGTTTCTATTTTGTTTGTTAGTTTATTTTGTTTGTTAGATTCCACATCTGAGTGAAATCATATGGTACTTGTGTTTCTCTGACTGGCTTATTAGCATAATACTCTTTAATAGTTCTTTCTTATCTCCTGCATTTTACTACAGTCAGTGAGAAAAACCAGGCAGCCCCTTCAACACTCTTCCTGAAGTTCTCCTTAGATAGGTTATTCAACTAATTTGGTACATTTTCTATTTTCCATGTTACCACTGATAACAGTGTTGCTAAACTTTCTACTACTATCTATGACATCTCCCAATAACATTTTTCTCACTTTCCTGTCAGCCTTAACCAATAACTTCAAGAACCACAAGGTTTTCATGAACAGTCTCTTATATACCCTCCCAAATTCTGCCTGCCACCAAGACCTGAAGTCATTGCTACATGTTTTCAGTTTTTATTATGGTACCAAAATCTGTTCCAGTTATCTCTTGCTACATAACAAACCACTCAAAAACGTAATGGCGTAAACATTACACTGACAACATCGTTTGACTCATGAATCTACAATTTTGGAAGAACTTGAAGAAGACAGTTTCTCTCTACTCAGTGTCGGCTGAGGTGGCTGAAAGATTGGGGGCTCTATTAGTCTGAAAACACACTCATTCACATGTCTGGTGGCTGATGTTGGCCGTCAGCTGGGAGCTTATCTGGACTGTTGTTGGAATGGCCACACCAAGACCTTCCCATGGGGCAGCCTGGCTTGTTCACCAAATGGTGAAGTGGTTGGGTTCCAAGAGGAAGCATCCCAAGAGGGAGTGCCAGGGGAAACCTAGTGTCAGAAGTCAGGCATCATTTGCACCACGTTCCATTCTTTAGACGTGAGTCGCTAAGCCTGGCCCATGCTTAAGGAATTGGACTCCGTATTCTGATGGGAGGCGTGTCAAAGAATTTGAGGACCTGCTTTAAAATCATCGTAAAACAGAGACATGGAAGCATAGGACCAAAGAACTTGTATGCATATATGCATAACCCAGGAACTTAGACAATATAGTGGTGAAGGCCTGGGGCGGGGGTTGGGGACAGGCTAGAAGGGGTCAATGGGGGCAAGAGGGGGAAACATGTAATACTTTCAACAATAAAGATTTAATTAAAAAATAAAATAAAGTCACCATACAAAGGTATCCTTCGCTCCATTTTACAGACGTAGAAGCTGTAAGTCAGAGAGACAGACTTGCTAAGGTCTTACAGTTAGTAAGTGATAAGGCTTGGGACCCTAAGATATACGTTACATATTTAACTACATAACGTCTAATGTGAATCTGTAAAGCATTATGGTGATACCACATTTCACACAGAAAAACAGAGATGCAAGCATGTGAAAGAGAGAGAGGCAAGGGCACAAATTTTCTAGAAGGCCTTCATATGCACAAAATACTCCAATCGTGTTAGAATATATACAGAGCCCTTGTCCAAGCATGTACTGTTTACAAAAATCCTCAAGTGGCACATTTCTGGATTTCAACAAGTAAACATTAATATGATCTCAGCTGAGCTTTCCTCACTTCTTAATAGAAAAGTAAGAGAACTCATGAGCCACATGGGTTATGAATCAAGGAACTTTATTATTTTTGTGTGTGTGATGAAATATGAGTTGATTTTGCTTAGTGTTTATTTAATGACTCACGTGGTCATAATGGCCAGAAACGTCTCAGTCCTGACTTCAGAGCATCTAACTAGGTTCTGTATTCCTGTCAACCACCCTCCAGGTTGGCATGCAACACCCTGTGCCTTTCCAGCCCTATATTTGGCTACAATAACTGAGCACAGGGGAACCCTAAAATAACCCAGCATTGGTCTCCTTGGATTCTTATAAAGAGACAATAAGCTTACCAACTTTTGACCAAAGGTATTTTTGGTCTCGAAGTTAAATTTCTGATTAATGGTCAGTTTTCCTTACTGAATACCTCCTATGTCTTTTTCTTCGAAGGCATTTATTCGTGTCTATGTGTGTTTGCATTTGAATGTGAGTGCATGTTCTTATGTGAGCATGTGCAATTGTTTTTTACTGTAGCCCTTTGAATATCCTTAGTGTTGTGGGAAGATGAAAAACAATAAAATTATGGTATATAAAAAATCAAAACAAAATGCTGTGCCAAGCAATGTATCTAAACACCTTCCGAAAAGTGTGAAAATAACTTTTCCTGACACTATGTCCTGTATGGTCATGGTTAGTCTGTGTAGTTTTTCTGGAACAAAACACAGTCTCCATTGATTTTGGCTCATGTTCTCCATGTTTGTAAAAAATCTACTATCTTAACCATTATGAACAGTGTTAAATCTTCAAGGGCAAATTTATGTAACCTACTCTCTCCCTCTCTTGCAGGAATAGCCAACACATAAGCATTGTTCTGTTCAGAGTGTTGTTGCCTGAAAAGAATAGTGAATTGTACACCAAGAAGAATAAGGCACTTAGCCTATGATGCTTGGGGACTTACCAGCATGATCTTCATTTTCCTCACTGCTTTGGCCCAGGATTTCTCCCTTTTGCCCCCTTCCTCCAAGCTGTTCTGAGTCAAGTTGAATCATTTTGGTCCATCTGTAACTCTTTACTCAGTTTATTCCTTACCTCAGTCTTGTCTCTTTTGTCACCTTTACAAAGCCTACGAATACACTCTTGTTTCTGGAGCCCTCAGTACCTAGATTACCAGAGGTTTATTCCACTCGTAAGCCTCGAGAATTCTGAATAGTTCTGTGCTGAAAGATGAAGATGATGGTGTAAATTAAATTGGGTGAAAGTCTCATAAAGTAACATAGACTCAACCTCCTAGCATGTGCCCAAGGCTGTGCCCGTGTACACGGAAGAGCCTGGGTAAATAATTGGTGAGTAAATAAAAATGGCCTGTTTTTGTAGAGGATGAGAGATCAGGTGACTTATCTGAGGTTACACGCCTGGACCACGATAGAGCTCTTACGAGAATCTAGGCCCTCCTGTTTTATCCAGTTCTCACTGCCCAGCTTCCCGTAATCTGCGTTCCCTCGGGAAGACTTGTGACTGCTGCTGCCTCTGGGGCTCTGGGGATCAGCAGCGCCGCAAAACAGGTGGCTCCTCCGGCCAGTCTGGTGTCTGCCCAGCTGGGCTCTTGGCAAATGCTTTGATTCCTCTTTCCTGGTGTTGAGAAAGCATTTATTTTGGTTTTAAAAATATTGCCTTTGATTTTTAAAAACTAGACTAAACAAAGATTTGGGTAATATCCATTAGGCAGGTAGATTTCTGAAAATATATATTTAAGTACTTGTAATGTGTTGTTTTTTTTAGTACAAAAGTAACACATGTTAATTATAGGAAATATAAATAAAACAAAAAGAGGGAAATGTATACTGCCCATTATCCTACTCTGCCCAAAGGAGAATCATTATTAACTAAACTATTTGGTATATTATGCTTTCAGTTATGTATATATAAGATGTCTCCCAAAAATGTATACACACGCTCTGAATAATTATAAAAGCAGTGCTTATTAAAATACATCTTATTTTCAAAATTGAGCTATCAGCTGTTAAAGTGTGTATCCACTTTTTTGGGACACCATAATATGTATTATACACTGTTCATTTTACTTAATAACATTTTATGAACATCTTTCTATTTTGTTAAACTCACCTACAACATACTTTTGATGACATAATTCTTTTATAGTGTGACATTGTATTTGTTTATTCTCTATCTATTGGACATTGTTTTCAAAGACAAGAAATTGTTAAAGATGGTTTGCCGTACAGATGGTCACTGTAGGAGTGATTCCCAGTCCCCACTTGCACCCGCTCACAAGCCATTGCTCTAGAAATAAGGGGGGGAGAGTGTGGCCATGTGACTGGATTGCCTCTGGGAGCAAGGACCCACCAAAGCTCCAGAGGAAAATGGAACCCAACCACCCTCCTCGAAGGAGAAACAAAGAGTTTCACAACCTCCAGATCTCATGGGTTTCCTTCTCGAAATCACGTATTTGTACTTAGGAAGGTTGAGAACGTTGGGAAATGAACAGGGTGGGGGAAGGGTGAGGAGAACAACTTCATAGATTAATACAATTTAGAAAGCTGGAAATAGAATTTTTTAAAAGGTCTTTAATGAAACAAAGAAGGATATCTCCAGTTTTGCATGCTGATTTGAACTGCATTTTTAGGAAGGGACATGTGTGTATATGTGTGTGTG